ACATGTTTCATATGCAGACCTTATTTTCCTGTTCCATGTTAAAATAAACCATTTTCAGTGGTACCGCTGAGAAAGAGTAATGTTTTTGGTCATGGAGAAGTCATTGAAAATCATTGGTGAAAAAGTGTATGAACCCTGACTATGTGAAAGCCTTTTTATAGTGTTCTTCGTCACTATCTATCCTTTCCTATACATTTCCTCTCTGTGGGACGACTAAAGGACTTCTGATTCCTCCTTCTTTTATCACAGGGTTGTACATAGCCGAGGACAACGACCAGGTGCCCAAGCGTTTCCGTGGATTGGGCATCAGGATAGAGGACGACGTGGTGATCCGAGACGAGGGAGGCGCTCTGATTCTGTCCTCAGACGCACCAAAGACCATCGCTGATGTAGAGGAAGCCTGCGCCCAGAGATAAAGGCAGGGAGAGACAGACAGGTGACAAAGTGAGACACTTCCTCTGTGGGCTGGGAGTTTCCAAACGTCTCCACCGTGATGACATCATCCGGCCCAGGGCCCAGGTACATGAAAGGTGGGAGCACATTGCAAAGACTCTGGTTTTAGCCTCAGCAAGTTCTCCAAAATACAGACAATATGATGTGGAAGATCATAAATGTTGACGTCTTTCTAACTGTTTAAAGAAACTGGATCGTATTTGTCTTCAACAGTGAGTGATTATGAAGAGGTATAAAGGGTGGGTTTAGTTGTGTGTATGGAATAGTTTGAAGTTGGTTTGCATAGCGTACTGCTTAGCCATAATTGGTGTGATACCTACAGTAGATGACAAAGTTTGATTAAAAACAAACTTAACTTATCGAAATACGAAAGCTGTTGGTCTATTACTGCCTTGATCAGTTTGATTGGTTCGTTTTTGGTTAGTCGAACAATAACGCAAGTAAACAAACTTAACAAGGCGGTGGTAAACCAGCATGTTCTTCGTTCTGCAAGTACATCGCTTAACTGATCAGATAGATAGAAGTAGATAACCATCTACTGTAGCTAATACACTATGACTATGGATAAGTTCTTCATCCAATCCCACTTCCAAAAATCCTAAACCATCAGTTAAAGGGGTTATGATGTGGCTATGGAGCCTACGCATGTATACCTCACCATAACAGACGTATTACTTGTTAAAATGTAATTACAAATCAGGGCTACGGCAGCTAAAACAAAACCACCTTTCTACAAATGTGTAATACGACCATCTAGTGTTGTGATTGTGCTATCAGCCGGGAAATTTCATCCAGAGCCAGAAATAAAGAATCTAGGAACAACTGTTAACCGCTTGCATCAAGTTTATGTTCAGCTGAAGACTCCGTGGTGAGATCAAACTACCATGGACTCATCTTCATCCTTAAAACCCGTTTGCTTCTAAACAATATTGTTTTTATTACCAGTATTACCATCATCATGTCACACAGGGATATAATCATTTTGTTGTGTATCTAAAAAAAAAAACGTTTTAGGTACAATGCTATGTGACTTGTGTTGAAGGCAATAGGGTATAATAAGTACATTATTTTGATTAATACCTCAAACTTCCACTTAATGTCTTCTACTCAAACAGGGTGACACAACAGGAGAAAAAACCGAATGGCATACACATCCACTGTGAATGGGAAAAGGCTAATACGCCTATTTTGAGCAGTCTTTTCATGTGTGTACAGTACCTATACACGTGTTAATTTTGGTAAAAAGGAACTTCACACAAATTATTATTTCCCATTACAAAATGTCAAAACAACAACCACCACTCCCTAGGCTGCAGACAGATCATAAAGTCCATTGTGTTAATGCACACAAGTGAGAATTAAAAATGAACCTGTCTTAAACAACTTCCCCTAATGAACATGGAATGATTGTAATGGTGAGTCCAATGAACTGAAAACATTGTGTGTGTGTGTGTGTGTGTGTGTGTGTGTGTGTGTGTGTGTGTGTGTGTGTGTGTGTGTGTGTGTGTTGTGTGTCTTTTCAAGAGAGAGAAAAATGTGATATATTCTAAAGAAATGTTTGTGTATATGTATTAAAAAGATCTCGTCAAATTGTTTATGCCAATGCATGCATAAACCCGCACGCCAGGAATGCACCCAGTTTTTCAAAAAGTAACATTGCAAACTAAAAAAAAAAAAAGCTGTGTTTTTTAGTAATAAAAACACGATGATGTGATTTTATATAATGTTGGGATGGATAATGTTGGGAAAAGATTCATTGTACTTCTCCCTGTGATACTTTAAGTACGTTTTATTTTGTGTGGAGCTGTAGTACTTGTTGGGGAGTATTCTAAGACAACTGTTGTTGACAGTGGTGGAACGTAACCACCCAGAACATTTTCTCAGGTACTATACTTAGAGACTATTTAATAAACACATTCAAATGTTTTTTAAAGGATCTAAAATTGGCTCCACATTTACAAACTACAACATTTAAGTGCCCTGTCTTTTTTTTTTGTGATAAAAATAGGACAATGTAATATTATATAAAAATATAATATTGTGACTTTGTACTTCTACGCCACTACAATTCAGAGGTAAATGGTGTACTTTTACGCCACTACATTTATTGAATACCTTTTAGTCACTTGACAGATTTGGATGAATGATGTGAAATTTAATCAACTCTTAAATCAGACTTTAGTTCCACCTGGAGTAAATCCACAAGCTACCCTGCAGTATACAAAGTCATTCAAACTAGCTGCACCTTTACCAGCTTTGAGAACACTTTCATGATCAATCATTATAATCAAAAGATATATATTATTCTGAATTGGACCAATCTGCAGAATGAGTACTTTTACTTTTGGTACTTTAACTATATTTTGATACTTTTCTATTTTTTATAATTCTAAGTATTCCTTAACTCTGGTACTTCTAATTGTACTTGAGTACACCATCTGCAGACTTCTTCCACCTCTGGAATTGTATGTTGTACTTCTTATGATGTTATTTTATCTTGTTTGCCAGTGCCAAGACATATTTCCATTATATGTAAATCTGATTGACAATTAAGTATTCTGGATCTGGATCTAACACTGCTTTTAGCCAATATTTCTGTGCTTCTATTAACATTTTGCATTCAGGACTTTTGTAACCGAGTCTTTTCAGATCTGGGTATTTGGACTTTTACTGAAGTACAAGATCTTGGTACTTCTTCCACCTCTGTGTGAGGAAGAGATTCATGGAGCGCCACTGTCCCCTACAGAAAGTAGAGTAAAGTAATATAATGATTATTTGAATTCATGTATACACTACTGGGTAACTAGCCTAGAATAATGTATGATGTGTCGATTTGTATTAACCTAAATCTACAAAGTAACTAAATATGTAAAATAAATGTAGAGGAGGAAAAAGTTCAACATTTGCCAACAAAAAGTTTTAGTGGAGTAAAAGTAGGCCTATAACGTAATATAATGTGCAAATACTCAAGTAAAGTACCTCCATTTGAGTGAAGTACAGTAGGCCTACTTGAGTAGATTAGCAACCCCACTGTTTACTTCTAATGGAGTATTTTCAGGCCATAGGATTTGTACTTTTACTTGTAATGGGGTATTTTTAAGACCGTAGTATTTGTACTTTTACTGAAGTACAAGATTGTGGTACTTCTTCCACCTCAGTTACTGTTTGTGTGAGGAAGAGAAACACGGAGCAACACTCTTATACAGATTGAAATCGATTGAAACCCGTAAAATCACGGAACCGGTTTCCGGACATTCCCGAACCCCTCCGAAGACAAACCTCCCCTCTTCCTCCCTCCTCTCCCTCCTCCCCTTCACGCCTAATGTTGCTGTACCTCCAACCCTCCCCCCCGTATCAGAGGAGTAGAAACAACAAGCCGCCATTTTGTTTGTGCGGACAGACCGTCAGAAACAGGAGGAGATAACCGAGAGGAAGGAGCGACTCTCCGGCTACCGACGGCCAGCCACACCGGGAAGGAAAGAAAGAGTGGAGAAAACCTGTCCGTGTTTCTAAGAGAGAGAAAGCACCACCGTGGAGGGAAACCGAGTCGGTGATATATATATATATGTATGCATGAGAAGGAAATACTCCAAATCCAAGGAAGGGGGTGTTTTGCGGAGCGGAGACAGAGAGGAGAGGCGGAAGAGCGCAATATATCTTATTATAAGGAGGAAAAAAAACTGCGAAAAAAGGGAAAACATGAAAATTCACTATGTGTCCGTCGCGGAGGAAGGAAAGAGTCCGCATAGACAATTATATAAATAAATTGCTGCCGGGCAGAAGGGAGAGGTGGAAAGAAAGACGGGTTTAAAGAGAAGGGGGAAAATTGCCAGGATCAACACGAAGGGGGGGCATTTCTCCATCACAAAGAGTAAATGAGAGGATTTTTTGCTCAGTGCAAAATATTTTAAAGCTAGGTGTCAACACCGATCTGAATCTTTCCGCTTCCGAAATAGCCATATTTTTTTTTTTTTTTGCGACCAATCGTCATTTTTTTAATTCACATTTTCGCCTGTCGCGCAAGCTGTGCTCCGGTTTATTTTTTCTCTTCACTTGCATCCTATAAAGCAGTGAGTGACAGCACATTTTTGGGGAATATTTATCTTTTTATTTTTTATTTCAAGTGCTAAAAACCAAGGGAAACCCAGAGGAGGAAACCTCTTGTGGAGCACAAGATAAGTAACCTCTGCAAAAATAAAAAACTAATTGGATCAATCTGACTGCCCGCTGATTGCCAATTAGACGCTGTGATTGCCCACAAGAAGTCCAAGAACTACATTCTGCATCAGGATCGATTGCACGGTGCTTTTTCTGACAAGATTTTCTATTTTGCCAACCCTGCTGCTCTGCAAGAGGAAAAGGGGGTTGCAACAACCAAACGTGCAATACGAGTTCCTGACCCAGTGCCTTGCGTGGTCAAACACTAAGTGCACATTTTTTTTGTCAGCATGCACATGCAAAAGAAAAGGCATGCATGGACATCTGCTATATATTCTCCAATCTGAGTAACTGCAAGTGTGGGACTTTCTTTCTGCAGAACTGTTATAGTATTTATTCAGTTTCTGTTAAGCCAATGCAAGATTCTCAGTATTGTACTGAGTACTTCTTTAAACTGTATTAGAGAGCTACTTCTACTCTGCACAATTAAGTGAGATGTCTGGTCAGGTGAAAGAAATAGTAAATGCAACCGTGGATCTCATAACTGTTGCATGAGGAAAACGGCCTGCAGAAGTTAACCCTCCTGGTTTGTGTTTTTTGGATCTTGCTTATCTTTTTTTTCCGTGCCCTGATCGAGACTCCCCATTTCAGAGCTGAAATTACAGGCTTTCTCCGGCCGACTATGGCGGAAAGGACTGAAAGCAGCACGGAGGACGGATCTTGGGACAGTTTTTGTGTCGCAGAAGAGGCTACATGAGGTTGTCAGAGGGGCCGCACACGCTTGCCTTTTTCGCCGACTCCACCTTCCCACCTCCTCCTGTTGAAATCAGTGAAGAAACAGAATCTCCGAAAGGGGAGGGGGACTGATAGCTGCAGAGAGGAATAAACCGAGAGGGTGAGGAAAGAGTTCAACATTGCTCTCTTCTCCCCTACCGTCCCCCCAAGCGGTGGGGGAACGACCATTTCTTAAAGGGAAAAGGAGACGCAAATTAAAAGGAAATACGTTTGCCCCTCCGTGGATCTACAGCTTTTTTTTTTTTTAATTCGACAAAAATATGGCCGATAATGTCCTGGAGTCCGGCCCGCCTTCAGCCAAGAGGCCCAAGCTGTCCTCTCCAGCCCTCTCCGTGTCTGCCAGTGATGGAAACGGTAAATATAGGCATGCATTAACTTAGCTTCAGATAAAATATGAAATAGCTCCCAATGTGTGTTCATTAATGTGTTTGGAGTCCCTGCAGAGTTACTCTGCAACTTGGTCTGACACAGAGCTGCTCAAGAATTAATGCTTTTAAATGCACATTTATTTGTAGCTTTGTTGATAAAAAAGCTAGTCTGTGAGATTTTTTTGTAAAAAAAGAAAAGGAGCAACTTTCCTGCAGGCATGTTTTGATGCGTTAGCCTCAGCATGCTAGCTAACTAGCCACTAACTATTAGACCAAACAATGGAAGAGCAGAGTCACCCTAGTTTGATTCAAGTTGTCTTACTACTTTTGAAAGTTGATTTATTTGAAACATAAGAGCACACACTCACTAAACAGGATGCGTTATATTGTCTACCTAAAGGTAGAAACACAGCAACGTTTCCTGAATTAGCTTTAGGAGAAAGTAACGGTTACTGAGCTAGCTAGCTAACTAGCTGGAGGTAACATATAAAACAGCTCAAACTGTGTGTTAATTTAGGATCGGTCTGTTGAGTCCCTGCAGAGTTACACAGCAACTTAACTGACACAGCCGCTCCAGAACTTTTACTTTATTTATGTGTAGAAAAAGGCTAAACTGAGAGTTTGGTTTGTGAAAAAGAAAAGGAGCAACTTTCCTGCAGGGGTGTTTTGATGCGTTAGCTTCAACATGCTAACTAACTAGCCACCAACTATTAGACCCATCTCCAAACAATGGAAGAGCAGAGTCACCCCAGTCTGCTTCAAGTTGTCTTACTACTTTTAAAAGTTGATTAATTTGAAAACACGAGAGCACATACTCCTCATTAAACACCAGGCGTTATAGTTTATCCATTAAAGTAGTAACACAGCACCGTTTCCTGAATTAGCTTTGGGAGAAAGTAACGGTTACCGAGCTAGCTAAGCTAACTAGCCACCGGCTCAGCTGAGCTCGAAGCTAGCAAAGAAAATAAGTGGTTTTTCACCAACAAACCCTCATTCTGTTCAATAAGACTCATTTTCTGTGCAAGCCAATACTTTATATAGTGGAAATAAACCCGTTTGTGGTGAGAAATGTCGTGTGCTTCACGTGTTGTTAGCCGCTGCTCTGTTTTTAGCGAACAATTGTCGTAGCTATTGTTCGTCACAAAGTTGCGCAAAGCGTTGTTTCCCAGCCGATTAAACAGCAGTGTGTACATGTTTTACTTTTTGAAGCTTTTAAATGAAAGGGGGAACTCGATGTGCCGTCTTCGAAACATTTCCTTTCATGTGTTTTTGTTCAAAGGCTTTTCTCAATTGTAGTCAACCGACGAAGCCCATTCTTGTTCATCCTCCATTGTTTGACTCACTGCACGTTGACTCGGCGCTGCACTTTCTGCATTTACTCTTCAAAACGATTTAACTGTTAAATACGGTTCCCTTTTGTTGGGAATTCAACTTTAATTGAAAACTAATTCATTTCTACACATTGAAGCAGAAGCTGTACACGTATGGCTTCCTCTTGTTGCATGCATTTGTGACGAGACATGCATGATAATTTAGATATGTCTTTGGTTTAGTCGCTTTCTGTAAAGTAGAAAAAAAAGAAAAGTATATCATTAAATACAGAGGTCATACATGTAGTCGGATATTGTACTAAAGTAAAATTAGAAATACCACAGAATAGGAATATTCTGTTTAAAGTAAAAGTAAGGTATTGTAACGTCCGAGGTGTTAAGGCTTCAACAGTATTGGCATCTAAATATACTTGACCAAAAGCAAAGGTACTGTATAATGGCACATTTAAGCACAATATATATTTTTAAATTATTAGATTATAATTATTGATTCAATAATCACTTCAATGTTGTACTTTGTAAAAGTGGGGTTTATTTGATACTGGGTAGCTTATCCTATGATGGCAAATATACATAAATTAGTGGATTTAAATTGTGTATTTATAATCTAAATGTGCAAAGTATATAAATCTGTAAAAATTATTGTAGTGGAGTAAAACATTTGCCTACAAAATTGGTAGAGTAAAAGTATAAAGTAGGATAACATGAAAATACTCAAGGAAAGTAAAAGTAACTTACTTTTGTACTTGAGTAAATGTACTTCCACCACTGAACAAGACACAGAATTGCATGAAGATGTAGGTAGTATTTCTGCTTTTGTTTATTACACTTTATTTTAACTTTGCAATACAAGCTCGCAAAGTAAGTTATGTACATTTCAAGTTTGAAACATGTGACATTTCCTTAAGTATCTAGGCCCTAATGCTGTAAATTCTCTAAATGCATGAGGTCAACAACTCAAATGCATGCTAAAAGTCATCATACATGCAATAAAACTAAACATGCAGGTTATGTTTTAACCTGGGTTTTCACTATCAAAGTAGAGCTATCACTGGATGTCTTTCTTCTGCTGGATGAAACGTCTACTAAGAAAAATGTGTATCATTTTTATATATTTCGTCAAACGTTCCCATTTGCTGTTCAGTGGAAATGACTTCTGACACTTTTCTGTTTAATGCTCTTGCACAACATGACTTTAGATCCAATGCACACACCTACCTAGGTACTGTAATGTTTACTCTCTGCGGCTTCCCACCCCGACCCTACTGCGTTCACTCTCCATGTTTGGCACCCCATCAAACCACAAGCTGATGCCCGGGAGAGAAATCAAGGCTTTGAGCGGAAGCTAAATCTGCACTGGCTGTCCAGCTATGGGCTACAAATGAAATGGTTTTCAAAATAATTGTCAGCGTTTTACTTCACTCAAATTAAGTTGGGTTTAAAAATGTATGCAGTGCAAATCCTACATTTCCTGAGCTGTGTGAACCTTATTTTTTTCTAGTTTTTAAAGTTTATTTTCTTTTGTGCTTAGATTTCGGTTCACTTTTCGACCTGGAGCACGACCTCCCCGATGAGCTCATCAACTCGTCGGACTTGGGGCTGACTAACGGAGGGGATGTCAGTCAACTCCACACCAGCCTTGGCAGTCTCGGAGGAGGACTGGGTTTGGGCGGCCATGATGCTGCTGCCAAACACAAACAGCTGTCGGAGCTGTTGCGTGCAGGAGCACCCGCACAGCAGGGGGGCCCCACATCCAACAGCACAGGACCCGGGGCCTCCATGGGGATGATGGGGGGTGTCTCCCCTGGTGGACCTCAAGGCATGCCCCCCCAGGGACAGCAGCCTGGATTAATGCAGCAAGTTGGGATGGGTGGAGGGGTGGCAGCTCTCAATCGGGCAGCTGCCATGATGAATGCCCAGAAGGGCAACACTGGACAGCAGCAAGGCCTGATGGGGGGGCAGGTGATGAACGGCTCGCCAAGAATGGGTTACCCTGGCAATGGGAGCATGGGTAACAATAGTAATTTGTTGGCGGAAACCCTGCAGCAGGGCGGGCAGCAAATGGGACCCGGGGGTCAGGCAGGGATGAGACCGCAGCAACCCGGAGCATTGAACAAGGTAAGCACACATTGCAAATGTTAAGTTCTGGTTCAAACTTAAACTGAGTTTAAAATGTTTTAAATGCCGTCCTCAACAGATTATGGTTTTGTTTTGGTGCACTGCTGAAAACCTACATGTAGTTTTTTTTCAAAAAGAAAAATGCTCTTTTACATTTGAAATGTGCCATTAACAAGAGTCAATTCTAAAGGATTGTAATTGTAATGTATTTTATTTTGACAACATTTACAAAATAGGAATTACAAATATTGGTCAATATCTCATAACTCCAACATGGCCAATTGGGACGAGTGGGAGCATGCATTTTGTAGGTTTCTGGCTGTTTTGAGTTTATCAACATGGTTAATTTAACTTATTGTAAGTTACTTTAGCATCAGCTAAATTAAATGTTATTAAGGATTATCTGGTACAATCAACTAAACTATACATTTATACGTAATATATTGAAAAAGTAGCAAAACTATGGACATGTCGTGGTTCTTGATGGCTTTCTTGAGTTTGGTCAAATAAATGAAAACTGATGATGATGATGATGATGATGATAAATTCCCTCTAAAAGCCATTTACTCATGTGAAGCTGTAGACTTTAGTGAACCTGTAGTAGAACCTGTAGTAGAACCTGTAGTAAACAGTAGTGTGTGGTTGCTTGTTGGACTCTACTCTGCTTCACTGCTCTGTGGTATCAATGGTTAACCTCTTCTATGTGCCACAGGATAGTTTGATTGAAGGTGTGAAGACAATACACCAAACCACTATACACCAATAATTCAGCCAAACTAGTAGCATAACTCTTTGGTGGTGCGCCGGCAAGCACCGGATTTTTTTAAAACTAATGTCCTGTAGTTAACTTAAGCATGTAAAGTACGTGTTATCCATGTTCAATGCTGAGGAGATTGTGCAGTTGATTCTGTATAAAATATGAGCTGTAGTTACAGTCGGTGGAAATCCAACGGTAGGTGTTACTAATAATGATTCCTGTCTTGACTCAAATCTCAAGTTCTTTGTAGTTCAAATGTATTTGCTGTTTTAAAATAAGGAAAAGTTTGGGCATATACGGAAGTAGCTGGAAAAATGTAAGCTGGATCTTACACCATAGATGGTAACCTTTTTCTGAACCATAAAGAGTGGCATTCATTGTGGAGATTAAAGTAAGGTCAAGGTAAAGGGGAATTAATACTGTCACTCATTATGAAGGAATATTTACCTGTAGTCCCTGTAAAGTAATTCCAAGAAGTATCCTTTGCACTGCCGCAGCAATTTAAAAACAGTTTTAAAGTGATAGTTGTAGTTGTTAACTAATGTAAGAACACATTGTAAAACTTCGCATATTTCATCTTTGAAAATGAAATATCACTTGACTTGCTACTTAAATAATGCTTTAAAGGTCGTCAAAGTAATTTATTTGATCTCTAAATGATCCATTCTCTTCTCCTCTTTCTCGTTTCTCTTTGTCCCCCTCTCTTTCTCCAGATGAATATGATGGCCAACGCGGGCCCCTATGGCGGTCCGTACGGCCAGGCTGGCCAGGGGCTTCCTGGAGCAGGGCTGGGCCCTCAGCTCCAGAATAAGGCGGGGATGCCAAACAATATGGCCGCCCAGTTCAACATGGACAAGAAGGCACCGCCGGGTCAAGGCATGCCTGGGATGGTAAGATCAGTTTCTGCTTAATTAGAAATGTATATTATGTTAAAGGTCACCTATTATGCAAAATCCACTTCTTCATGTCTCTTCTACATCAACATGTGTCCCCTCTGTGTAAAGAGACTCTGAAAGTTTGAGGAAAAAAGATTCTCTCTCTTTTTGTCCTGAACCATTTATATAAAAACCTGTCTGAAAATGAGCTGATAAAATTTTGGCCACTTTATGATGTCACAACGATTTTTTGGGTTGTGTAACCATTAGCCAATCACCAACTAAGGTAACCCCCCTCCCCACCCCCACACCTTATCACCTGAATCTCCTCCAAAGCACCATTGTGTTCTTTTTAACCAAATCTCTCTCAGAGGGGCGTGGGGAGGGGCTCCTTATTTTCATCTAAAGTAACAGACAGAGGGGATTATGGGTAATGCTGCAATGATCTGTTTGGTGTTTGGAGCCAAANGAGGTGGAACAACATTGGGGAAAACCAAATATATTTGGAAAATCCCTTTAATGCATTACATTCATATAACCCCAGAAATGTGTGTAAAAGAGATGAGACAGTGGTGCCAACCTGGTTCATTGGAGCATGCAGAGGAGACCTCTGACCCATCGACTGCATCCCCATCTGACTAAACTGGTTCATTCCTAGAGGAGAAGGAGAACAGAAATGATTTATGGCAAAATTAAAAAAGGCAAGGAGAACAGAAATATGGTCCCTTTTTATGCCAAATGTCAAAAAGGTCAACAGTGTATGTACAACAGAAGCTTTGTCCTTAACTGGTCTGGTTTCTTCTTCAGTAAACTTACATGGTTATTTGTTTCTTATTCTCTCTAATTATTAACTAGGATTGCTTTAAAGCCTCCTCTTCCGCAGCACAAAGCCTGTCCGATACACTATTCATGAATTTCTATTTGTATTAGCCTTGGATCTGACCTCCTTGTTGAAAACAGTCTGGTTGCCTTTCTAATAATATAATTTACAACTACTAGACGTACCTCCTGGACTCTGCATCCTGTTGACCATCTGATTGGGTCCAGCTGGTCGGACCATGGACGGATCGGCGTGAGGACCATCTGACGGAGAGAAGAGTTACAGGGATCATAAATCAGGATTACTGAATACTAGTAAAACCATAAGTGACTAAAATAAGTTTAAAAAGGGTGAGAAATACTTCCAAGAACTCTATAAATGATTCAGGCTGTTGAAGAAAACTTGTTTCACACGGTGTCACTCAACGCATGCACTATAATCTAGATCTCACATGTCTAAACAAGTACTTTCTCTAACCCTGACTGTTCAACACACTTCTGCATGAACAGCACTTGTTCAGACAATTCAGACGCTTGGGAAAGCATGCTACTGGTTCGGTAAACATACAATTATAACTATTGTTTTGCTGCAAGAGTTGTGTAAGTTTTTACTTCAATTGATCAAGACTTTTCTTACATTTTCAGATCTTACTACCCTGAATGCATGTGGAAAAACGTTTACCTTTACTAATTCAAGGTAATGCTGGATTAGTAATGGATATACAGTTGGCTTTCTTTGTCCTTAAAGGTGGGGGAGGTAATTTTGGAGAAACCAGCTCGAGTGCGCTAGAATTTGAAAATACACAACCGAAAACAATCTTCCCCTTCCTTCAGACTTCCTTACAGAGCCCCTCCTCCAACACACACGAACGCGCACATGACCAATGAGGGCACGAGATAAGTTTGTGCACAGATGGAAGGCTGACAGGCAGGTAGGCCATCCAGTTACTTTAGCCGGGCCGGCTCAGATGATTGGTCGTGCTTTTTACAGCGCCACGGCTTCCACAGATTACATTTTTTAATGTATTTATTGTCAAAGCATTTAATGTATTCATTGCTATCGGGATGTTACTTTAAGTATTATATATTTTAGCGTATGGGACAACTGTTTACTTGTTCTTTTATTCTACTTTAATACTAAACATGTTTCTGTGCCAATTATTATGAACATTACTGAAATCTAAAAGCTAAGCAGTCAAATGTGTTTCTATTATTTGCAGTCTGGTGTGGATGCATTCAATTGTTTCTACATACACATAGAAGGGTGTGAAGGAGGTTAAAACAAAATGTCTACTTACTTGGTGATTGTCCAGGAGCAATAGAGGGCTGTCCCATGCTGGGGGGCTGACCCATGCTGGGGGGCTGTCCCATGCTGGGGGGCACCTGTGGGAGGCCAGGGGAGGGGATGCCGGGCATCATGCCTTGCTTCTGGAGTCGCGTCCTCCTCTTCTCCTCCAGCTCCTTTTGGATTTTGTAGATTTTCTCTGCCAGCAGATGGTAGTACTCCGCCTAGAAAAAGAAGCACCAGCCGGGACAGAGGAGGTTACTTGGTTTAATCGCAACAGTGCATACATTAATACTTATACCTTCTCTACTGGAAACTGATGGATTCAACACGATTACAAACTGGGAGGGATTGACACAAACCGTTTGCAGTTTGGCATTCAAATCTGTATTAATGCCACTCCATGCATTGTAATATACACATTTGTATTGATTTTATATATTATACAATGTGCACATTTTTACTTCAACATAAATGTTTGCATAATTCATTTTTACAACAATTTTTTTCTTCTATATTTAAATAAATATTTGGATTCAATTATTTTAAAATCCCTCGGTACCACTTTACAATAAGACTACCCTTATAAAGGATTCATAAAGGGTTTATAATTAGGTTATGAATTAGGTAGTAAACACTTTATTAATCATTAAGAACCATTTATAAACCAGTTCTAACATAGTTTGTATACATCAACACAGGCTCACTATTTGGCAAGATGACTAAGCCTTATAGAGAGGCGAAGTCCCTCCCTTTCCGGGGGAGCTCCATGGGACCTAATTTCGGAAAAAGTATGTATTGAAGTCAATGGAGAGAGAAAGATTATCTTTTGATCCCGTTTGAATTGTGCCATGAATTACACATATGATGTTCGTCAATTTAAAAGATAATTTTGCAAGAAAGAAAAAAAAAAAATATATCATTAAACTGTGGTAACACTTTGTTTTGTGTGAAACCGCTCAATGAACTACATCTCCCGTCTCGCACCACACACCCAGACGGCCGTCACGTTGGAACATTTCACCTCTTTCTTTCAGAATGAGGCGAAAAGTATTAAAAGAGGTGAAAATCACTCCAAGTCTGGGCATGTTGAGAGCTGTGCATACACACAAGGGGAGTTAGTCGGTTCCGTAAGAGCCAGCATGCGGGACCGGGATTCTGGGATTCGTAGTCTTTCTAGTTGCGTATTTTTCATAGTCTTATATTTCCACAGTTTTATGACAAACTGTGACTTTTTTGACATGGAAATTATTTTTTTAAGATTGACAAACATCATATGTGTAATTCTCACTATTTGGCAAGCAACCGGTCACAGTTGCCCTGTTTATCTCATGTCTTATAAAAGCTTATTAATGATGTATAAAGTGTTCACAACCTAATTAATAAATGAATTACAAACTATTCGTAAACCCTTTATAAGGGTAGTCTTATTGTACCAATCCCTTTATTATACATTTTGACATTAACTTCTAATATTTATATACATATTAATAATCATATCCTTTTTCAGCAAATGTTTACTTTAATTTCTTATGTTTATATAAATACTTTATCCTTTATTGCAGATTTAAAACATGAACTTCCTATGTTCATATCAATCATTTTATTTTATTATAAAATGGAACAACGGTCACAAAACCCATTTCCACCTAGGATAAATTAAATATTCTGATACTGATACACTCGGTGTGTTGGTTTCTTACCCGGCTGTTGGCCGACTCGTACATGTCCCCCTCGACTTTCCGAGCGTACGCCACCAGGTTCTCCATCCGCCGGTCCTTCAGGGCGGCCGGATCAGGAGTGGGGAAGATTGCCTGCACACTACTCTCACACATGCACAAACAAGAAGGACACACAGATACAATTAACTTGAGGCAAGAGGATGACACCAGGTGCTGAAGGTTATCCAATACCACTGTCTATGCTGTGCATCTGGGATCCATAGTGAAAATACAGTATTTATACATATTCTAGCTTTTAAACTAAGTATATATTTTTTCTCACTATCAGTATTTATTGTACTACACCTGCACATACTGCGACTACTGTATTTTTACCCCTTGCTGTTTTTCCAACACATTTTATTTCTTTACTTCCCGGCTCTAGTGAGATATCCTGAGGGCGCATACTCACAGCTTGTGGACGAGGTGGTTTCGGAGGTCCTGTGTGATGTCTTCATGCCAAGACTTCCTCATGCCGGGAGCAGAGGGGGGGGTCGCCATGGGCATCGAGCTCAGGGTCGCCAAACTATCACTCATCAAACTAGAACAATTACAGACAAGAAGGAAAGGAAGGAGTGAGATTTCATCCAAAACAGAACACAGTTTGTCTTTGTTAATGTCCAATATAAGAAATATAAAAATGGTCCTACTTCTGTGCACTCATGCTGCCATGCAGCAGGGAGTTCGGCAGTAGACTCGACTGGTTGGGGGATTGCACCCCCACTCCACCATTCACTCCCATAGAGTTTCCACCTGGAAAGAGTGAAAGAGTTGTGATTATAGAGTTTGAAGGACGTGATTTTTAGTACGACACTATAAGCAGGCCCCGACTGCGTTATGGTGGAAAATGATTAACTCTTGTTTTGGAACAAGCTTTGTCTGATCTCAGTTACGCCAGTCGTGTGTCACTGTCCACCATTTGGGCACCTGGTCTTTAAGTTTGTATAGTGGTTGACACGGAAATGTACTGAACAAGCTGTGACTGAGGGAATAAATGGCAGTCTAACAATCAGAGGGTCAGGGATTTGATATCATTCCCGGCAGTCAACATGTCGAAGTGTCCTTGGACAAGATACTTTACCCTAGATTTCTCTGTAAGCATGTCTACGGTTTTGAAGTGTATGCAAGTTGCTTTGAATCAAAGCCTCAGCTAAATAACATGTCATTTAATATAAGAACATGCAGGCAAAAGACAGCAGGGTAACAACAAACACATTTCTAGTTGGTCATGTGATGATTTAGAGGGATTATCTACGAGTCTATTGAATGTTTCTTATTCTGCCTTTAAGAGACACACATATGTGCTGTGACGACACTTAAGGGAGTCCAATCATCTTATAAAAACAAACAGGAAATGCCTTTTAAAGCTCTCAAACATCTGTTAAGTGGCCCTTTGCATTTATGTTTTCTATGGCATAGCTTGCTGACAGAAGATCAAGAATACAAATAATATTTTCTCAGTGATAAACCTAAAAATGTGATGTGGACAATTGTATTAGAAACTAACCCATGGAGTTGAGGTTCCTCATCCCCGGCTGGCCCTGGTTGGACATGCTGCCCTGCGACGGCTGGGGGATCTGGTTCCCCTGGTACGTGAGGCCGAGGGCAGCGTAGGCTCTCTCGATGGAGCTGGGGTCGATCTGGTTGGGGGGGTTCAGGTTGGGAGAGTTGGACTGTCCACCGGGAACCCCTGAACCTAAAGAGTTCACCAGACCCACCCCGGCACTGTTTACAAGAGCTGAGAGGAGAAAGAGGGGACAGAGGATGAGCATCTGTGGACAAATACTTTGCTGCATATATTTTAATGCACACTTTTTAATTTGTATTAATCGTTGGTTTACATATTTTCCAAAGGGCACACATTATTACTTTTTATATTTATATAAATCATTGTATTAAAAACATATTTGCACATTTTTATTTTAACATGTCTCATTTTTATTCTAAAATGGAGCAACTGTCCAAAAACTCAATTTAATATATAAATTGGGTTTATAGATATTTTACACACACACACACACACACACACACACACACACACACACACACACACACACACACACACACACAGAGAGAGAGAGAGAGAGAAACACTCACACTGCTGATTCCTCTTGTCTCCAGCATTTTTCAGCGGCAGGCAAACAGGACAGTCATGTCGTGTGCAATTCTTCCAATGAGAGATGATCTGTCTGGATGAGGCACAGTGAGCCACTGCGGGGGGGGATAAAAGGAGATCAGTTTCAGAAATAAGGAAGAGTCATGAAAAGGGAGGGAGAATGAGTGATATGAGAAACATGTGACAGTGGAGGAGGAGGAGGAATAAGGACGATAAGAGAAAGGGAGAAGATTCAGTAGAAAGAGAAGCCAGAGAATGAGAAAGTTACTGTCTGAGTCACTCAGTGAAACTACATCCAGACGAGAGAGAGTAAAGACCGAATAACTCATTTTGATACGACGTGAAACCAAGAGGGACATAAACAACTCTCAAGCAAAAGGAACAAAAATGAATTGCAGATACATGACGACTTTAAACGCTGCCCTCAGTGTTTGATACAAACCACACGGCCGTAAAAGCAGCAATCATCATAATTCAAAGGACTCACCCTGGCAGGACTTGCCAGCCTGGCAGTGAGTCATGTGGTTGAGCACGTTCTTCATGGTGCGGCAGTGGGGCAGGTTGCACTGCCTCACTTCCCCGTTCGCCTGCTCCCTGCGCTGGCACTTGTGCGCGTGGAGCAGGAGGACCAGCTGCTGTTGGATCAGCTTCCGTTTCTCGGGGTCTGCGGTAGGGGGCGCTGCGCCGGGACCGGCCCCTACGGCACTGAGCCCGACCTGGGGGCCTCCCACCGCCGCTACTCCTCCGACGGATACACCACCCACCGCTCCGGACTGCTGAGACGCCTGCGGAGAGAGGATCGGGAGCAGATTACCTTTCTTATCGCAGGGAAAGGTGGGTTTTGTGATGGTTGCTTCATTTTGAAAGCAGATGTGTGACTCTGTAGTTTGGCGTTAAGAAGAAGTGAAATTCTTTGCCGAATGATTTAAAAAAGGGCTGTAGGAACATTTTTATGTTTAAGAAAATGTATAAAGAAAGCGTAATTAGACAGTACGAAGTTGACTGTTGATTGTGTTCTGGTTTTATGTTTCAGTATTTGTAAGCTACTGTGACTGAAAGAACATTGCCTTTATTTTACGTGTTGTAATTGTAAGATTTTCTTCTCCCTGCTCCTTTCCACCATGCACTATAAAAAAAAAATCAACCAGTATAAGTGTAGATGTTTTGTAAAGTATACATGTTTTGTTTTAAAATAACTGCCATGTGTGGAATAAACAAATAAATAAATGTGAGAAAATGCATGCGACGGAGCATACAGGAGAAAAGTTTGAATCCAGGAAACCAACAAACCGGCATCATTTCCAGAGACACGTGGTACCTTCATGTTGAGTTTACAGAATTGAACAGGGTGCTAATAACCTTCGGTGACTCGCTGCCATCTGACAGGGACATTCGGACTTCTGCGGCATTTCATTAACCTCACTTCAAAAGGCGGTTTAATTTCTCTGAGGCAGGTAAGATTATTGCAGAGGTAATTTGATCTAATTCTTCACTATAATCCCATACAAGACAACAGTCGTGATGACCATGTATCTACGCAGAGGACTCAGGAACCCTTTGCATGGACTAGGAGCTTGTCAAAAAAGATGTGAAGTTTTAGCTGCTAGTAAATACATGAAGGAACCCAAAACAAATGACTAAAGTGGTCAAAGCCATCCTCAAAGGGACGTAATACAGATATAAAGTGAAATTCAAAACACAAGCAGAGTAGTGCATGACATAGATGGGAGGCAGTCAAGGGCACATGAGTCACAGAGAAGGACAATAATATACAGTAAGTTATAAACACAAGCCAGGTGCAACAGAGGATGTTCACCTTGACTTGTATTAAAATCCTGAGGCTGTGCGGATATATGGCATTACAAATAATTACAATTATTATTTTCTGTTTTCTTTAAGTCTTGTGATTTCCGCTTTGAATTTTGACGACGGCTAAACACACCTCCACACAGGATTATAAACACTGTTTACACAGTCAGCCCACATAAAAGCAAATATTCTAGAGATCAACTCATTATTGGTTTTAGACTACTTTAGACAGAAAGTCACCAAACTAATCCCTTAACCAGGAACTTTCCGCCGCATGGACTAGTGATAACTTGATGATGCTTTAGAGACGCAGTTAAAAGACTTGAGACTGATTATGTTTTAGTTTATACAATTTGAGAGACTTCAGTTTGAATGTAAAGGTCCCCTATTACACTGTTTTTCATCAATATATTATAGGTCTCAGATACAGAACATGTCTCTGAAGAGTTTGGCTCCAAACACCAAACAGATCATTGCAGCATTACCCATAATCCCCTCTGTCTGTTACTTTAGATGAAAATAAGGAGCCCCTCCCCACGCCCCTCTGAGAGAGATTTGGTTAAAATGAACACAATGGTGCTCTAGGAGGAGATTCAGGTGATAAGGTGGGCGGGTGTTACCTTGGTTGGTTATTGGTCTCTCACTATTACTACATTATATCTCAATAACAAATTGTTATTTGCAGGGAACTTAATGATGATACTAATAATATACAAGTTTATACC